CAGCAGCAGCAGCAAGCAGCAGCAGCAGCATCAAGTGCAGCAGCAGCAGCAGCAGCAATTGCAGCAGCAGGAGCAAGTGCAGCAGCAGCAGCAGCAGCAGCAGCAAGTGCAGCAGCAGCAGCAGCAAACACAACAGCAACAAAAACGCAGCAAGGGGAGTAGCGACAGCAATTGTAGCGGATGCAGCAGCAGCAGCAAATGCAGCAGCAGCAGCAAATGCAGCAGCAGCAGCAGCAAATGCAGCAGCAGCAGATGTAGCAGCAGCAAATGCAGCAACAGCAACAAGCACAACAGCAGCAGCTGCTGCTCCAGCAGCAGCAGCACCAACAGCGACATCAACGCTAACAGCAGCAGCACCAGCAACTGCAGCAGCAGCAGCAGCAGCAGCAGCAGCAGCAGCAGCAACAAACCTTGCGTATGCTCCACAGGAAAGAGCAGCACGAGACAGCAGCAGGGGGTCTAGCTTATCTAGTGTATTCTTAACAGCAATCAGTTGGTGCTGCAGCAGCTTCTGCTGCTGCTGCAGCTGCTGCAGCTGCAGCTGCAGCTGCTGCTGCTGCTGCTGCTGCACTGGGGGGCTGTGATTGCTGCTGCTGCCGTTGCTGCCGCTCAGGCTAGCACCTGCGCAAGGAGATACTGCTGCTGCTGCTGCTGCTGCTGCTGCTGCTGCTGCTGTTGGAGTCTGAGTCTTCGCGAGTTGCTGCTGCAGCAGCTGCTGCCGCTGCAGCAGCAAAGGCAGCTGCTGCTCCTCCAGCTGTCGCCTCCATCGTGAGAGCTTCTGCAGCAGCGAGAAAACAGCCTAAGCAGCAGCAGCAGCAGCAACAGCAGCAGCAGCAGCAGCAGCAGCGGTGTGCCAGCAAGGCCTGTGGCCAGCAGCAGCAAACGATCAGCAGCAGCAGCAACGACGGGAGAAGCAGCAGCAGCAGCATCAACAGCATAGGCAGCACAAACGCAGCAACAGCAGCAGCAGCAGCAGCAGCAGGACAGAAGGGCAAGCAACAACCGTGCTGCAGCAGCAACAGCAGCAGAAACAGCAGCAGCAGCAGCAGAAGCAACAGCAGCAGCAGCAGCAGCAGCAGCAGCAACATAAACTAAAGGAGGTAACTCGAGCAAACCTGAATTGTTGAAGCGCTGTCTGCAGCAGCTGCCTTTCGCTGCTGCTGCTGCTGCTGCTGCTGCTGCTGCGGTTGCTGCTGCTGCTGCTGCACCTCCGTCCCACCCTCTGAGCCTCTGACAGCTAACGAATTGCTGCTGCTGCTGCTGCTGGTGCTGCTGCTGCTGCTGCTGCTGCCCACGTTGTGCTGCAGCTCGGTCGCCACCAGCTGCAGCAGCCGCTCACTAAGGAGGGCTCCTGCCTGCAGCAGCAGCAGCAGCAAAAAGCAGCAGCAGACAACAGCTGCAGCAACAACTGCAGCAACAACTGCAGCAACAACTGCAGCAGCAACTGCAGCAGCAACTGCAGCAGGAACTGCAGCAGCATCTTTATGCACATCCAGCAATAAGCAGTGCAGCAGCAGCAGCAGCA